TGACAGTATGAAAACCTTGAGAGGTAGGAAAGTATGAATTAAGAAAGAACAGATCCAAAAAGATCCAAATAAACACTGAACTGAATGTATCTATGAGTTATTAGAAGCATTCAATAAGGAAAATGAAGCAACATGCAAACATATAAACATCAAATGAAATCAATGAATCTCAAACAATGAAAATGTACAGCTAGAAGACAAACATCAGAACTATAACTCAAATTAGACAATCCTAAAACAAGTAAGTTCTAATACTCAGTCAAGTTGACAGTATGAAAACCTTGAGGGGTAGGAAAGTATGAATTAAGAAAGAACAAACCCAAAAAGATCCAAATAAACGTTGAACTAAACGTATCTATGAGTTATTAGAAGCATTCAATAAGGAAAATGAGGCAACATGCAAACATATAAACATCAAATGAAATCAATGAATCTATGAGAACTCAAACAATGAAAATGTACAGCCAGAAGACAAACATTAGAACTATAACTCAAATTAAAAAAAATTCATGAGTTTCCAGATTAATAATTAGAATCTAATAGAATAGTAAAATCTAAAGGAGACACAGACCTATCGAAGTATCAGATGAATCAAAAAACATGTCCATAAGAATTCAAGTTATGGAAATAAAATTTACATGCAGAAGAGGGAGCTTGGAAAAAATTTCACCTGATATAATATCAAAATAATCCACATTGTTCAGGGTCCGCATTGAACATAAGAATTTAAACTAGGCCAAACGAGTATAATATTCCGCTGGAAGCTATAGTTAAATTTCAAATAGAACTTTAGCATATATAAATATTGACTAAAGTCAACAATTATCCATCAACTGTTCAGTGCTGGAACTTGAGGCCTAGCATGCAATCGTTATATACCAAGTCAATAATATAAAAAGTGTGGCAATTACCATGAAAGTAAAAGAATTTTATGTAACATATACCCATTCTAATACACTTAATTTACTGAAAACTTAGTGATTAGCAAAGAATGTGCCTCTATAAAACAATCCAACACGTGAAAAAAATGAAATGTAAACAAGAACAACTCAACAATTACTCATTAATCATTTGAATATAAAAACACCATTTACATGTAATACATGCAACGTAAATTAGAATAAATCAGCAATTACACATTAACTAAATCAACATAAAACCATCAAAGCATGTTATAAGATACAATTTAAACAATAATAAATCAACAATTACCCATTAATAGTCTATAAATCATAAAAACATAAAAAAACGAAAAGCATGTGACATGGTGTAATCTGAAAAAACATAAAAACACCCAAAAAAGAAAAATACATGAGATAAAGAGCAACCTATATAACATAAAAATAAACTCTAAAAAACATATGGGAAAAAAATGCAATCTAGACAACATAAAAAACATGAGACAACACAAAGAACATAAAAAGCCACATGAAAAAATGCAATCTAAACGAAATCAAAATACATGTGACAAAATGAAATGTAAACAACAAAATCACCAAGAACATGTGACATAATGTAAGCAACATAAAAAACGACCTAAAAACAAGTGCCATAATGCAATTAACAAGTGGGATTAGTATCACCCATGCGTATTCAACGCGACCCTACTGATCTCCGACGGATCTTGTGTAAGCTTAACCACAATCCTCATCCTCTGTTACTCAGTGCACATATCAAGCAACTTCTGAACCAAGTAATTCCTAAACGGGTTCATCATGAGATCGGCTATGTGCCCGATGACTCCATTAAAGATCCGATCCACATCTTGCCTCCTCTCCTAAAACTTCCTCTGCAAAAGCCTACATCCACTCTAGTTCTTTGCGCAGTGATAAATGTAGTCTGGAATCTACATCAGATTCTAGAACCTCACTGAATTATTTGTCCCATATTCTAATCTTTTCTTGGTGTTGGTGCTAGTGCTGGTGCTATATAATGTCTAGTTGAGGTGATTGAGGTTCGAACCTGGTTGGGATTGGAGGCGGGCGAGGAGGGCATTGATGTCAATGTTATCTTTAACGAGTGACGGTGCATGATGATGTTGTGATGGGCATAGATGGGATGAGTGTAGTGGGAGGGGATAATGGGTGCAGGATGATGATCATGTTAGATGATGATAATGAGACATGGGGATGGGAGGAAGGGGTGTGATGACGTGACTTTCAGAATATCTTTTAGAAGAAGATCCATCTCCTTCTCCAGTGCGCTTCTCAAGCTTCGTGGCTTTCTTTCTCTTTTTGTGATTTTTTTTTTGTGGGTGTTTAAGAGATTTTGCATACAATGGAGATTTAGGTGTTGAAGAATGGAAAGAGGTGAGGAAGAAGATGAAGAGAAAGGGAGAGGGATAATATATAGTGTATTGGTTTTATAGAGTTTTTTCTTTTCACATCGGGAAAAGAATTATTTACGGTTTGTTGAGGGAAAAAATAAAGGCATTGATATATTATGAGATTTTGAGGGTTAAGGTTACCATAGACGGTGGGTTGCCCTTTACCAAGGTTCAAAGGATGTAAATATACAATGCAATGATCACCCTTACAAATTTGAAGATTTGCAAGTTGAGGAATGTAGAGAAAATAAAAAAGATAAGATTGAATACCGGAACAAGCCTTTGGATAGAGTTCTAATAGTTTCTCGTGTATAGTTTTTCATGATGGATATTAGTTTGAGAATTATCATAGTTTTGTTGGTAACTATATAATTCTCCATGACTAATTCAACATTTTCTTACATGTATCACATTTCCACCTAAATAATGTACTCGGGATAGTAGCCAATTTTTCACAAGGTTCTCTATTAGGATCCAGATCATTAGATGCTATAAAATGTAATACAATTTGATGATCCAAACATTTATGACCAATCATGCAGACTTCGTAATCTGAGCGAAAAAGTAATTGTCACAAACAAATGACTTTGTGTTAGCATAGCGTACGTGTGTTGCACGTGGGTATACTTGTTTGATGTTTTGAATTTGATTATATAAGAATTTGTGTAATAATGTGCATAATTGTAGTTGTTGGCCTGTGTCATGCACATGTACTCCAATATCATTTACTCGTAAACATAACTGTAAATGATTCATTATTATTAAAATATTGAAGGGTTTGGGATTTATTATAGATATATAGAAAGCATATGTAGAAAAGTAAAACTTCATAGAAAAATGAATAAAATAACTAAAAATTGAAAAGATATTATGTCATGCTTTTTCAAATCATGACAATGAGAAAAATTGGATACAAAAGCCACTACCAATATTTAATGGAAGAATTAGTAACATTAAAACCAGCAATGCTACTTTTCTTTAATTCATTATTAAAATTCATTTTTATTAAAGGGAATAAAATTAAAACCTTAATTGAATTGTTAATAGAATAAATTCATGATTAAAATGTGATGCCTTAATTTATTGCAAACATATGAAGGAAGAACTAATATCAAGTATCTATATGATTTGAGAAATTTAAGAAATACTATGATTTTTGAGAATCTTTTAAATTAAAGCGCAAGTCAAGTGACATTCTACTGAAAATGACGATGCATGTATTTCAATAAGTATCAGAACGGACTGCATGAATCTTGTTCTTTCATCTGATTAGCTCATTAAGTGATTTGTACGTAATCAAATCATCTTAGTTAATTTGTTTCTCAATTAGAAAAAAATTCTAGGTTACTACAGAAATATCAAACAATAGAGAAAAGTTAATGACCAAAAAATTGAACAAATAAGATAAACGAAGAGAATAAATAGATCACAACAAAAGAATTAGCCTACAAAGATGAAGAATAATAATCCACAAATTATCTCTCCTCTTGTCAACAAAAAGATCCTTTATGCGCCCCCCCACCCGAGGCCCACAGCCCACCCCAAGCTGTCCAAAAATTATGCTCCAGTCATCAAATTAAAGGCCCAAGTAAAATCAGAACCAAACCCTGCTCCAACCCAAACAAAACCTAACTCAAATCAATGCAAGAGGAACTCAAATGCAATGGCGGCCGAGAACTTAGCATCAACGGGAGCAGCCGCGAAGGTGGCCAAGCTCGGGCTCGACACAGAGCCTCAATTGCAACAATGTGGTCAACCATTGAGGAAGCTATAAATGAATGAATAAGGGAAGCTGAAAATTTTTATATAGGAAATGGATGAATAAGGGAAGTTGAAAATTTATTTTTATAGAGGAAATGGATGAGGAAATTGTAAATGAATGAATAAGGGAAGTTGAATTTTTTTTTTATTGTGGGTAAAAAGAAATCAGCAAAATAATTTCAATGGCCTTGCTGTTGTTTGGACTTTAAGCGGTGGGCTTTTAGGTTGATGAGTGGCCTTTGAGCTTCATCTCCACCTCAAGATTAGAAACTCCAAATAGTATAAAGATTAATGACACCTCCAGTAGTGCAATCCAATAAAGATCTAAATTTCCATTAAGAGTTTTTATGCTAAGCATTAATATCGTGCAGTTCAGTGGCTTTTGGGTTCCAAGGAATTGTGTTTTTGATTGAGCACTAAATTTATTATTCGATAGGGTATGTAACAAGTTTTGCATAAAATATTTTATCAGCTAAATATTTTATCAGCACTAAATTATTATTATCCAATAGGAGTGTTTAACATATTTTGCATAAAATATATTTTATTTAGTGCCTAGAATAGGACACATAATAGTATGGATTAGGAATTATTGAAATTGAAAGGGGCAAAATAGACAATCAAAAGTTTTGACACACATGTCCTCTTTTATAAGTAGTATAGATTCATGTTTTAAACTCAGTTCTTAGAAGCATTACATTTTCTTTTTGCCTACAATTGTACAAGCACCTGAAACTGTTTTATATCATTGTTTAGCATTTAAGATATACAATAATATGCTACTCTCTCACTTGGGATATTTTTTCAACACTCATTGCATTCTTGAAAATATTGTACCTTTGGTATCTATTTTGCCTTTTCCTTTGAAAATCAATAGTTTCCTGATGCATATAAATGGATTGATTTTTATTAGATTCGTGGGTTTGCATGGCCATCAGTTCTCGTTGGCATGGTTGCTCAAAGTGCTAGGTATTTTCTTTTTATTATAATTATATGCCTATAACCTGTTAGCTTCACGTTTATGTACAATATTTAATGATGGATTCTTCCAGGTTGTCCTTGAAAAATGATAATTTGTGTATATATTGATAGCAATTTGAACTTCATTAATATTGTGGTACCATTAGTTAGACTGAAGTAATTTTCTAGTCAGTACCATGTGCATCTTCCCACATGTATTTTTATGTGTAAATGCAATTGTGACTTATGTGGTCATAATGTTGAATTACTTGCTGCAATTGCTTCTGCTTGAATGTTTGGCAGCTTTGGCTTGTATTTAATATATTGAACTTGACATATTTCCATTTGAATAATAGCCACATAGCCTTCATCTACTACTTTTGGTAGGCAGAATCAATTGACATGAACTTCAACCATCATAATATGCTCTTTGACATTGTTTCCTCGAATATTTGTGCAGATCTTTGATTTCCCCTGATTAATTATCGGCTATGAAGGAATACATTAGCTACTTTCACTAGAGCCTGTTCGGTTATATGCTGTACATATGAATACCATCACAGTTTTTACAGTATATATTCCCATTAACCAACTCCTATGCCTCCTCTAATATAGAGATTCATTTACCTTACCCAGTTACCCTTTCTGGTTACAAATCTATCCAAACTTTCAGTTCTGCCAGTCACTTCACGTGTATATCCCATCTTTCTTTTAGTGAAGTTCATTTTTCTGTCCACATCTGATATAATGGATCTAGTAGAACAAAAGTATACCCAATATGAGGCTTCAGGTTCTTGGCAACAGCAGATCATTGAGAAAGCAATATTGTTCTGAGTGCCACAAGCGATGCCTATATCTGACCCAACTTTTGAAGCGTGAAGGAAACATGGCGCTTCAAAAAATTCCATAGTAATTGACCAACGATTGCATACCTACCATGGTGGCAACTAGAACATAATTGAGTGAGAACCTTAAGATTGACGGAGCGAATCGTGTGATACACGTGTTGTTAGTTTTACACTGTTCCTTGACAAGTCCAAGCATGCTAATTTTCTACTTAAGGCACAGTTACTTGGGAATATGCACGTGCGTATTTACTATTTTGCTGCAACTGCAAATTTCGTCTATAATTTCAAATGTTATCTAGTGATCTGATGGTGGAGGTTTAACAAGTAGATGTGACTTCAGTGCTTAGATAGTTGTTGTTCCAATATTGTTCAAAAGTATGCAATCACTTACGTCAAAGGGTCCATGTGGCCAGTTGCATGAAACTTGAATATAGAAAGCTACTATCTGCCCTGCGCTCAACATCTGCTGTTTCAGATAATGAGTACAAATCTGCATTACAGAATTTTAAAACTGTGCAACATCTTATACATGTACTACATATTCTGTCAAAAGTTGTAGTGATGTTAATTTTGCAGCAGTGTTGGTTTTGCAGTATGATTTACTTCTAATTTACCATTATTATAGTCTATTATTGTAGAAGATGAAAATAAAAAATTGTCTTCTACTGAGTTCATACTATTATTTCCCTTTTCAGTCAGTACATACATGAAGAATTTTTCTAATAATTTATGGGGATTGTTCGGTGTACAGTCTAGGCATGAGGGATTCATTGGGGCCATTGAAGGTTTTAGCGGTTGCGAGCGCTGTAAATGGGATTGGTGATGTACTTCTTTGTTCTGTATGGGGCTATGGTATTGCAGGTGCTGCATGGGCGACAATGCTTTCACAAGTATGACTATTGCAGTTTTCATAATTATATGCACTTACAAGTTTACATATGCATATATTCCACTGGCTAGTCATGTGCTGAACTTAAATCTATGTGGAAAGGGCTAATGTTTTCTACTAGAGAGTTCTCTCTAGAATCTCTGTCTGTCTGTGCGTGCATGAGCGCCACACGCATTTGTGTGTGTGCGTTTGAAATAAAAAAATACATTTTGTCATAAATACAAAGAAGGATTTTAGTAATTTGGTTCCATGTCCTTAACATTTTTTACAAATTCATTACATTTGTGGAAGTGATGTATTTTCGAAAGGGTAATGTATCTCCTTTTATTTTTACTTCCAAATATATAATGTGCCAGGTTATTTCTTATGGGAATTTCCTTTAAAGATATATCATGTATCATTCTTCTTAATTTGTTCATTACCAGGTTGTTGCGGCTTTTATGATGATGAAAACATTAAATGATACAGGCTTCAGGGCTTTTCAGTTATCCATTCCATCACCCAGGGAACTTCTTGAAATTGTTGATCTTGCTGCTCCTGTTTTTCTAACAATGACATCAAAGGTTCTGTGCCATGTTCTTTCTTTTACCATATTTCCCCCCTCCTTTTATACCTAATTCTATAATATGATCAAGGTGTTTTATTCTCAGGTGGCATTTTACTCTCTACTTACCTATTTTGCAACATCTATGGGGACAGTAACTGTTGCTGCCCATCAGGTTCACATATCTGTTTGCAGTTACCAAACGCAGTTATTTTTAGTTTACCAAAATTCTCGTTAGTTGTTCCGAAGGAGTTTGGGCTGTTAACATATCTGGTTACCTAACTGCAGGTTATGATTAATATCTTCTGCATGTGTACTGTTTGGGGTGAACCTCTTTCACAAACTGCACAATCATTTATGCCAGAGCTGATTCATGGAGTTAATCGGAGCTTATTGAAGGTTACTTATCTTTTATAAATATAAATTTTGGACATAACTTTATCACTGTCTTTGTTCTAGAATGACTGTCATTTGCAACTTACACATTTTCATACTCATTGTTTAATAAACTATTGATATGGCCTAATGTATTGACATTTGCCTGGTACTTATCAATCTATTTCATTGTCCTTTATAGGCCTAAAGTTGCTAAAACTTCTATGTAAGTTCATTGATTAAGAATCGGTATATTTTTTCAGCAATAAGGTTTTATGCATTGTCAATTCTAGAATTGGAGATAGTATAAAAAGCCAAAGCTGTAAGAATCAAACTTCCTTCTTTATTTCTTTTTCGTTCTTTTCTTTTTATATTGAAGGGAAATCATCATTCAAGATATTTTCTTTGCTTACAGCCTAATTTAGTTTGTTTTCCTTTAAGTCTGAAACTGCTAAACATCTACTTGAAGTCACTGATGAAAGATCGGCAACGTTTCTCCAGATAAGATCTAAATACCCACTCAAATACAAAAAAGAAGAAAAGCTCTAATTTTTCATTATAGACTTGAAAAAATTTTAATTGCATGTCTCTATTTCCTGAATGTCATTACAGGGTTGAAACACATATTTTCAGTAATTAATTTTATGCAATTGAGAAATTTTGAGTCGTTAAGCTGAACCATTTTAATCGTTAAACTATAATTTTTAATGGTTGTTTCACATTTTAAACTTCTTGATGCTAATGCAGTTAATTGGAATTTATTGGAAAATATTTTGTGTTAGAAAAAGTAAGGAGAAGGATGTGTGGTATGTGAGCGAATGAGGTTCTGTTCTGGTAATTGTATTGGTTATGGAATCCTATTTTTGGCAGCATTCTGTCATGACCTGCAATTTCTAGTTCATCGCCCGGAATTGAATATAAGAGTTATATTGTACAACTACTTTTTTGCTTAGTTTCCTTATTCTTGTAATCATTTGCTTATAGTTTATTTTAATCTTCCATATGGAACCTCAATGCTGTAGTGTATATGACGATAATATTGGAATTTGGAAAAGACTTACGGATTAATACGAGAGGCTGCTTACAAATATTCTAGTGCCATGTTATGTCTCTCTTCTGAATGCATTTCTATGTTGGATGATCACTGTACATATTAATTGAAACATAAAAATTAAAAAAGTTCATAATTACTTTACTTGAAAAGATCTTTCTCTTTCACCATTATTTCTTAAGCCTTTCCCTCGTATTGATTTACTGATTTTACTGGCCCGGCAATCCAGGCAAGGATGTTGTTGAAGTCGCTTGTTATAATTGGAGCTATCAGTGGATTGACCCTAGGAGTTATTGGAACATCATTTCCTTGGTTCTTCCCCTCTCTCTTCACATCGGACCGCATGGTTGCTGGAGAGGTTGGTTATAATATATTTTTAAAGTTCCACTGGATTTTACTTTTGATTTATGCTGTTAGCACCAGTTGGCAATTTTTTCTTTCATTCAACTGCCATCCTGTTTGATTATGGGATTTAGTAGACAATGTAAATATCCTCCTTTTTTATTTTATTATTTGTTGATAACATACATATCCTGTTTCTTAAGATACTGTATTCTTTGCTTGTAAGGTGACTGGATAAAATAGTGAGTATGCTCAAAATCAGAAAATACGTATTTTATTTGACGTATATCTTATGAGTAGCTCATTGTTAATGGATTTAAGACTTGTTAAATAATAACATTAAACAAGTCTCAATCCCTCCCTCCCCATCCATCCATCCATTACGAATCCAACAGTTTTCTGATTTGATTCTTTACCCTTTATGATGTTCAACCATAGGCACTTGAAACCCTTTCTGTTACCAAACTGTCACTGAATTAATCTCATTATCTTGTATGGCTGTTTTATTTAACTTCTTTCCTGATCTGGAGGCAGGATCCTGGTCTACATTGAATTCATGGGTAAAGGAGAGATGGTGGAAGTGGAATAAGCAAATAGGAACTAGGATGTAAAGGAAGGTGGCTAGCATAAACATCTTTTAATTCCAATAATTACAATAGCGTGAATTCATTTTAGTACTGGACACTGGAAAAAAGATGCCCATTAGATTTTGTTTTGTTGTCGATCTCTTACTGATATTCTGAGTCTAACCACATATCCTGGCAAGTAGGATGCAAACATTCTAGATGTTGACTTATTAGTTTTATGCACATTAACAATTGATGGAAACATTCATTTAAAAAGAAAAATTATATATAATTGAACATTTACTCATTCATGTAGTCTAATGACTTCCGCGGTGATTTGTATAGGTTTTAATCGAGTATCCATTTCAAGCGACATTCATACTTTTATGAAGTGTCTGACATTTTTAGTTCACATGCAATGTGTCACACCGTAAATTTAGACATCTTTATAAGACCCAAATAGTTTAAGACCCATGCAATGCACGGATTTGTTCAATATTAAATTGAATTTTTTTCTCAAAATGAAATATGTTCCATTCTTTTTTTTCCAATTTTTTTACGTGCAAAAAGAATCACAATTAATTATATATAACTTTCAACAAAAGTAAAATAATATAGAACCGGCCATCCATTATACATTCGCACGTCTAATGATGTTACCTAATGCTGATATATATTTCAGTAGCTATTGGTTAGTTATAAAACTCATATTCTTATTTAAGAAGGAATCAAGGATCAATGTTTGTATTTCATGTCCCTACATCCAAATATGGAGAATTCCTCAAACTTATATGCATGATACTATGCCAAATGACCAACTTCTCAAAAAGTTAGGTGCAGTTATCTTACATCCAAATATGTAGCTTCCCTATACAAATTACTCGGATTCACATCTTCAATTTTGATCTGTTTATGCTTTTGTTGATTTACTAACTTCTTTCTCCAGATGTGCATGTTAAATTTTCAATCATTCCTAAAATTATGCTGAATATTTAATTTAATTACTATAGAGGAAATAAGATTTCTCTTAATACTTGAACATTTATATATTGAATGAGAAAGGCCTTGAAACTCCTGCATAGCAAGATAATTTAGGCAGAATTTCTTTTACTAGTCCCGCGTTCAGCATCCCCCTCCTTGTGGTTAATGTAACCACTTCGGGCATGACCAGCTCCCATAGTGTGACGGGCGGTGTGTACATGGCCCGGGAACGAATTCACCGCCGTATGGCTGACCGGACAGAAGTACTTTAGTATAATAGTATCGAAGTACAAATAGTATTGATTATGATAGTTAAGTTGATAATACTTTTGATCTGCAATAAAGACCTGAATATGACAACTTGCTTGATTTTAGAAATAATTCAACTTCATGTAAGGAGGAGGATACCATATAGTTCATATTTCCTTGGAGGACTAAGAAATAAAACAAAATTGAAAAATCCCAATCCAACCAAACCATTAAATCCAAATATATGAAACAAACAATTAACATGGAAGTAATTTATTTGCAATTGAACGGTGGAATTTTTTCACAAGTGGTACAAAATTTATTACAAGATTTATGATAAGTCATTCTATAAAAAGTAGCAAAGATGTGAGATGACAAATTATTTTATGCCTCACTATTGAAGTCTTGAGCACATTGCTGGCAAGATCAAAGCTAGGAAATAGTTCAATATGCTGCAGTAGAAAAGAATTTTTTGTTAGGTTAATTTTGTAGAAAATCAAGAAGCATATGACATTCTGTAGAAAGAATTAAATTATTTAACACGATCCAGAGGAAAACATATGCAAAAGTCTATATGCAAATCATCAGATCTATTAGGACTACAAAGGTTAATGAGTTGATGCAATGACACAGAAAAACACACTCCATTTTATAGATAAAACTAATTGGACCATGCTATTTGCCTGATGTGAGTTTTACACACGTGATATATGAACACGGGTTTCAGGTGATTCTAGGGTGTTGTCATAAGTTTGAAGAGGGGAAAAACATAAATATAGATCACGCACATGACTTTGCTCCCACATTCAGTGGATGCTGGATATATGCTTTAATGTTTAGAAGTAAATGAAATGATTTTGAAGTCTGCAAAAATAAATGAATCTGAACATATTAGCCATAAAAGGTTAAGCCAGCAAGGAATCTTCCAAGGGAAACATCTAAATTACAAAGTATAATGTAACTTTAAAAATAATTGTATTTGTAAAAGATGAGGCATAGTATAGGAAACTTTAATAAGAATATAAAAATTTACAAAATTGTTACCTTGAAGTCGACCCTCAAGTCTCAACCCATTGTTTCGAATGTTGCAAAGCTGATTAAAAACCAAAAAACAATGCTTAATAGTTTCCCCCCTACTATTTAGCTTTGTATACTAAGATATATTTAAATTAAGGGTTTTTTGATATATATCCCCAAAATTACATATATTTTTGAATTTTCCCTGAGAAATTATTATAATTGTTTATTTACCCTCCAAATAGTTTAATTCTCCCAAAATTACCCCTAATCTAATTTGCAATAAAATTTTAACGGTATTTAAACTTATATCCTTTTTTTAATGTTTTAGGATAAAGAAACATCAGCCACAATATCCAATACTTTATTCTTAATGTTTCACGATCTTGGTCCATGACATTGCAAGTGTATCCATAGATATTAATCCTTGGAACATTGCATGAATCACGAAGTTCAATGATCCAATGATGAGTGTACATTTAATGCCATGAACAACTTCCTCCTTTGTGTGCCTCTCCGTTTTTTCTACCGTGTGAAAATGTGATAAATTGCAAATAAACCCAACCACTACTCCTTAGATGAAGTCCATTTCAAAATCCTGAATCATTGCTCGTAATTGTTCTCTCATGAATCCAAAAACGAACCACATACTTACTAACACTGATTAAATAAGTTCATTAAACAGAACAACAAATCAAGTTCAAGAATCACAAATCAGAAAAATAAACATATCGCTAAATATGAACCTAACTTCTCTACATCAAGAATATTTGAATGTGTTGTTAATGTAGGTACTACTTGATGCTCTCACACTCGCAGAGAGCGAGAGAAGTGTGCGCATCTAAATAGAGAATAATGATAGGAGGGAGGGAGGGAGGGAGGGAGGGAGGGAGAGAGAGAGAGAGAGAGAGAGAGAGAGAGAGAGAGAGAGAGAGAGAGAGAGAGATGATAATTATTGCTATTTTTAATTTAAAATTAAAGACTAATACATTAAAGTATAAATTAGTTATAAAGTGTTAACCATTTCAGCATAATATTCTTTATAGATTTCCTATTAGCTCTTTTATGGACGATTCCCTATTACTTAAGCGGGATGGTAAAAGTAGAGTAAGAAAATAATCTGGGGGCAAACTTAAAAGTACATACAATTTGAGAGGTATATATATCTTAAAGACTCTTAAATCAAATTTAAACTATCATTTACCTCATAATTGATAGCTAACTATATGAAAGCATTTAAATTTATATGCAACTCCTACGTCTCTTAGGGAAACATGAGAGACAATCCAACATGAAGTAGTAGAGTTCAGAAAAAACTGACTAAAATAAAACATTTTAGTTGATCGACATTTCCGCTTCAAACAAAAAAAAAAGAGTTAGGGTATGGAACTGCAGGAAAAAGAACTAACTAATCCAAATTTGAAGATCTTAGCAACTTTAAGGAAGTTCAGGATGACGTGGATGGAAGATATGCTCTTCGAGATGCAACAATCTTTCTTCTCTTCTATATACTAAACAACTTATAATGTAGTTAAGTTAAAGACAAGAATTAAGTAACTCAAACCGCAATGGGAATAAACTCAAATGTTAATTCTAAGGTCTTGACAATATTTAATAATCTTGAAGAGCTTAACAGGGTAAGAATAAACTATGAGGCTATTGGTCTCTTCAATGCGATCCTCTCTAGCACGTCACTGCGTATTTCTTCAAAGCTATTTGACTTGTTAGTTAATGCGTTGGCATATACTCTCCTCTCATTGTTCCTCACCGTCACAAGCTCACTTCGGTGTCAAGTGATCAATGACAGACAGACAGAGGTATTGAGATAATGAAGATTAGGGACTTTGGGGCAATTTAGATAATGAGGATGATGGGTTTGAGGGTTTCAAGTAGCACCCATTTTCGAGAGATATTTCTGGCATTTGATGTAGTAGGAAAAAAAATGAGAAGACAGGAATAACAAATTAACAAAAAAGAGATTTGCGGGATAAATGATATTTATTTCCTAAAGGTACATATGGCTGTGGAAAGATTTAATAGAACCAGTTAAAACGAAATGGCTTAAATTTTCGGTTTTCATTTTAGTTTAAATAAAAAAATTAGAATTATCACTTTCTCATTTTTTTTCTTTAGCTTTTTAATTTAAATTTAAAAAACAGAATTATCTCTTTTTAATTTCAGTTTAAACTGAAAATTTAAAAATTCAGTTTTTCCTTATTTTCTGCGTGGTTTTTTTAGGCGGGATAGATAAGAGCTAAAGGGTTGCGTGTTGCTGCTTAGCTGTATTAGTAGTATAATATAGATTCAGAGTGTGAGGAGTCAAAGGTTACACGATATGAACAACCAACTTCTTTTTATTACTGCTATTTCAATATATATTACATGACATGCTTCTCTTCCTTGAGCTTTATTTACAGTACAAAGTTTCATCTATTCTTCGCATCAAGGTTCTCTCTATACTTCTGCTATATATATATATATATATAAGCTATAACAATAACAATCTGAAGACTTGAGCATCACATAATCCGGATATATGCCAATCAACCAAGAAATGTACCAAACTAACATTGACGATTCATTTTCAGTCTTTCCGATCAATATGTGTGGTACTGAGATTGTCTGTAATATGCATGTGTATGTCAAGTGATAGTATAATAACGTCTTGTAACGATTCGATTATCCAAAAGAAATACAATATTTACTTTTATCCTTGCAGGATAAGATTTAAGGCCCTCATCTTATGAACTTATGAACATAACAAAAATTTGTTAACATAAACATAATAGAAAATTATTTAAATAGAAAACAACCTTAGACTTTCATTCTAGTGACCAATAAAAACACTAGCCTTTGATAGGACAAAGTGAGATGAATGTACAGCTAAAATTTAATTTTAAATCATACGGGAATCTCACTTTTTGGGGTTTTCTAGTATTTCCTCTAGCTACATCTCGATTTCTGTTAGGTTTTCTTTGGGCATACGTCCTATTGACATATAGGCTCCTATTTATAGTTATAACTTGGACATGTTTTTTTTAACTAAGGCACTAAGTTCTTACATATCCAATTGGATAGAACTTATCTCTAAATGGATACACGTACATTCCTAGGCTCATGCATGAGTCGGGTTTACAAGTTTATTTGGTAAGTGAAATTTTTTCATATAGAATGAAGTACAAAAAGCTTAAGCATATACATGAGAAGATACATTAATGGTTAATGACAACAGACCATAACTTAGACTTATCAACAAGAATACTCAAAATTTACATGAGGCGTTGTAGCAATGAAAAGAGATTTTCGCATGAAAAATCCTAACAAACACTTCTTTCTTTATCTGTTGAACAATCATTGTAGCGTGTGAATAGCTTTGAGGAAACATGCTTTGAAATCTTTATTGCCATAAATGATGGATACAGCACCAAAACAAGTAAGAAAGATTTTCTTTTTTACCGACTTACCCCTAAATTTGGAGACCCTTAAACCAAAACTTGTGACCAGACATAAGAAAAATCGCCATAGCATAACTACTCCATCGCTGCCTCTAAATCTGAGCAGCGAAATCACATGTGAACAGGAGATGATTGACATTTTTAGGAGGATTTTTATATAATATTTTTATTACGTGATTCTGAGTGAGCAATCTTAATCTTGCAGCAAGTCAAGTACTGAAACAGTGCTTTGGCTTGGTCAAGGAGTTCCAAACTAGAGAGCACCAAGGGGGATAGTTATGGGCATCATACAACAAGCTATAAACCTGAAATATCTTCTATGTATCCTAGGGACAGAATCATGTGGATCCTTATGGGGGCACTTGCTCCCACACAAATTTTAATTTTTAACTAATGATTATAGAAATTTATAAAGGTGCCCCTGTATAATTTATATAAGTGCCCCCATAGTTGTGTAATTCCCAGAATCCCCCTTGAAATTGTATAGTTATTGCCAACCGATTCCTGATACATTTGAGAAACTGATTCCCCTTGATACACGAATTGGTTCCCCAAAATTAGCGTACCTCTTGCAAGTATGTGGGAGCAAGTCTCTGCAAGTGCACATGTGCAAAGCGCAATGCGATGTGCGCAATTACGTGAAGAGAGGTGCACAATAGAATATACGAGTCAATGACTTTTCTATAACTAAATACCTATGTTAATAAACATGAACTGAAACTATCATTCCGACACCAACTATGCAAAAAGAAAAACAAAACAAAAACGAACTCTATAAAACAGAAATAGAAAAAAAAAGAACTCATTGGAAATGCAGAGAACAGACTCAAAAATATTGAAAATGGGTAGTTAGCTTTCTAGTTTTGCAGCTATACACTTTGGAAAATGGTAACCGCATCCAAAAAAAAAGTTGCAACATATATAACTAACATGTGTAACGAAGTAAGCTACTCCACCTCAAATTCAAAATTTCAAAGTGGCGAATTGCGTAACCAAGTTCATACCACAACCCTCTACATGCTACATACTGTGTAGCTATGGATACCCCCATAAAGTTGATAACTCTAGATTTTAAAGAACTTTTGTTGGAACTTAGTTGTATTTTTGTTAGTTTATGTGATAAAAATTAAAATGATAATGTGTTGATATGAAAATAATATAGAAAATTATTATGTCTTTAGATCTTTCCAGTTGTTTGAATAAATATTTTAATTGGTAGAATATATATGTATATGTTACCCATAATAATTTTTTTGGGATCCATCCCTGTTGTAGCCCCAACCACGCATGGGGATATTGAAGATACATGAATCAATTCCCCTCCCCACTTTTATACGCATAGAAATCTCTTATTTTGAGGAAGCTTTTCCATTGCCAAGAGTCTCAGTTCTTGCAAGAACATGCCATATATCAAGTATCTTTAAATAAATTTCATGTACCCATTTGATATAAAGGTTTTTGTTGTTGTTGTTGTTGTTGCAATGAACATCCCAAAAAAGCGTCACAAGAGAAGAAATATTCCTTTCCTCAGAATGATAAAAGCCTCAGCCACCACAATTTTTTAGTTTACAGAAATCTTGCCAAGAGACTAATGGAATTTTGTGAGAACCATCTCTACTTCCGCAAATAAATTTCCTGAAAGCAGTGTCACTCCCTTCAAAATTGATTTTGGAACAAGAAACCCTCCAGTCCTAAAAGCTTGCACACCAAAATGTACAGAATTGACTAAAGCCACTCTACCATCATAAAAAGCTTTCTTTCAGCCCAGTTCCCAATTTTGGCAAGAATTCTATTAACCAATGGTTGACAATGACCTTGCTTAGCTTACTACTAGAGATGGGGAGGCCCAAACTTAGCTGCAAGATGAGCCTTAATAAACCCAAGCTCCAGTTGGATCTCTTGCTTAACAATATCATCCACTCCACCAAAGAAGACGCTACTCTTGGAAGCATTAGCAGCTAATCCCGAAGGATTAGCCAAAAGCTTACAATTGTTACCTTAGTTGAGAATTATCCTATTGATATCTAATAATAAGGTATGCTAAAATAATTTGTATAGTTTTATAATTGTAAGTAGACATATTATCTTAAATTTATATATTTATATGAAATATCTCTTGTTTAAATTCAAGAGTTCAATCTCCTTAAAAGAAAATAATTCTCATTCCTTTATACTAATCTCAGGTTTTGATATTTCTCAAATTTTCATATTTTCAACTTAGTAGGATACTACCTTACTTGTGATGTTAGTGTAAAAGATTAAATTGGATCCTGTTCTTCAAGTTATTTTAAGTAAATAACACATTAGTGAAAAATAATTAGGTGAAGCGTCATATACATCGTCAACATTTTGAGCTAACAATTTATTTGTGCAGATGCATAAAGTGGTGTTTCCATATTTTATTGCATTGATGGTGACACCTTCAACACATAGTCTCGAAGGAACTCTCATGGTAATGTTTATCTTATTTACTGCTATTTTGCATTGTTCTTCATGTTAAACTTAATCTAATTATTTAGTTATAAATATTAAATAAAACGTCAATGACATGACATCAGCAATTGAATATAGAAAATTAGTAAATGATTAACAAATAGGATGGCCATCCTGTACAAATACCAAAAAAAGAAAAAGGATGATCATCCTCAATTTAATGTATACCCTATAGTAAAGTGTCAAAGTTTTCATATCTTAATTTTAATTCCATGTGCATTTGCATGTATCCAGAAGCCTCTGCATAAAGTTTATGTGTGGTGCATCGAGCCATGAAATGGTACAAACTTGTACCTTTTGTCTATACACTAGGCTTAGCTTGTAATTTATTTTCTGATTTGCTGTTAGAGAAATTAATAACCTAATTCTTGTGTCATCTATTGTTGTAATTTTTATTTTGCAAATTTCAATGCAATGTAAACCAATAACCTATGTTAATTTTGTTGCTCTCTTCCTCTATATTCCCAATTTCCTCATGGTAATGATTATCTACTGCAAGGTAAATACCTATAGCAAAGTGGTTTGCAATATTATAGTTTCTATGCAACTTATACCCGATATTATAGAGCAGTTATAATGACCCTATAACTGCTGGTCATATAGTTCTCAATTACAACAATTTATAACATAACTGTCACATGATGTAAACATTTTCATTTTATAAGTCAACGTGAGCTAATAAGTAATGTTATTTAACTTTCATGCTAATGGTGTATGCATGTATGTATGTATGCATATGTATACAAGTAACACTTAAATAGAGCATGTTGCGCCCTAGGATATGGGAAGAATAATGTATTGGGGTTTTTGCCTTTAAGCCCAAAGTTTACCCCAATTTATTTTTAAACCCATGTACTTTTATTTGTACTCATAAACCTTAACAAGTATCGATATTTACCTTTAAACCCAAGAATATCTGAAACAAGATTACATACATGGCATTTCTACAAAATAGCAAAAATTCTATAATGTCGTCCTTTCTCCTCCTCTCTCATTCGCTTTAACACACCCATTATTTTTAATGGGATCTTTCTCCCTCCTCTTTCCTCTCCAACCTTCATCGCATTAGAAATAATGGAGAGAAAGAAGGGAGGAAAAGGATGAGGAGGGAGGGGAAGAGGAAGTGATGGTGGTAACGGGGGTTGAAGAAGAGGAGGTGGAATAGGGAGGAAGATCCCATTAGAAATAATGGGTTCTTTGTTGCAGAGAATGAGAAAAGAGAAAGGAGTAGGGCGTTTTGGGATTTTGCTATTTTCTAGAACTACAGTGTTTGTATATCTTGTTGTAGTTACTTTTAGGTTTAAAGGTGAATACTGATAGCTGTTGGGGTTTGAGTACAAATAAAAGTACATGGTGTTTAAAAGTAAATTTGGGTAAAAGTTCAGATTTGAAGGACCCCTCATAAGGATTGAGAGAAATGCTTCAACAAAACTCTCGATAGTCTATTCAAATGAAAATCTACTACGTTAACTTGATCTTCGATACAGAATGGCTTAAGATCAAAAGTCAAGCGTGAGTGACTCATCTGTGCTTCGAGTACTAGAAAATGGACATTCAAAAGTAATTGTGTTGCTTGAAATTTATGATTAAAGCATAAAAATTCTTGTTCAAACATTTAATCATAATATAAAGTATAAACTATTAAAAACCATTGTAGACTAGTTTATATTAGGTTGAGACATTCTAAACTATCAAAGCAAATCCTATTTCAGCTGACCAATTTTGTACCCACTTGACGCGCAGACTAAAAACTTAAAACTTAAACCACTTGATTTTTGGGTTACAGCCATTCTAATTAATGTAGATCAGTTTGAACAAGTGGATTCTTAATCGGTTTATCTTTCATTCAATTTGAAACCAAATACTTCCTGAAAATGTGTGCCTGTATGTGCATATCCATGTTGATGTGTGTATACATGGACACATGTGCCCGCGTCCCTTTTATTTAAGTTTCTGCATGGGATAATTCTGGACACTTGTGATACTAATGTCCTGTTTCTGGGTAACACTATTTTTGAGATTGCAAACCTCAAATCAATGCTCAGCCTTTTTATTCTGCTTAGTAAATGGAAAGTGTATACTTGACTTGAAAAAAATTGTAAAAAACTTGGGTTATCTGTATAAATGTTATCCCTATTGATTCCAAAAAGAATGACTATGATTGGGATGTATGCGAAGAGAGATCTGCAATAAATAAACTCACATCATCCCGCATATATACAACTATTTATGTTACTGAACTTTGTTTATATGCAGGCTAGCAGAGATCTTAGGTTTTTGAGTTTATCAATGACTGGTTGCTTTTGCTTCGGTGGGTTTTTACTACTGGTATGCTTTCCTATCATTTCCATTTTATAAGGTTATTCGTTTATCAACATTAATTAATTGGTTTGAGTATTCTATTTCTGCAATTTGGAATATGTAATTTATTTAGTCTGATAACAGATAATGTGGACTCGAGTTTAATTTGATTTTGCTTGTAAATTTAGATTTAAATACAGTAGTTTTTCTCTTTTAAACTTCCCCATTATTTTGATAAACTTTTCCTGATACTCTAGTTCATGGAAGGATTATATTGTGGTTTCCATGTATTTTATCTTTGGTTCCAACAGTTCGCTAACATTGTAGTTTAAACTAATGAACGATTCTTTCATAAGGTATGAAATGAACACTCGTATTCAAGACATGTCTCTAGGACATATCACAATAGAGCATATAACTCCACGGAAGATCCATTGACCTTAACAGTAAGGTTAACAGCTTTGATGCATGAGACCAATCACTAGACCTTTTGACATAGAATTTTTCAATTATGATTACACTCACACTTCTCAAAATTCAGCATGGGCCGTGGCCCACATTTGACAGTATGTACATCTGCCCCTTCGTCTGAGGGAGAGAGACATGAAAATTGGGATTTTGTTCTCTCGTATTCTCTATATACAGAGCATGAAGGTCTTCTTCACTGCATGTGTTTGTTGATGGTTTAACAGCACATCTTTAGAAAATATTAAGACCATAAACATAATTCCTTCAACCTTCACCACAACATCGCAGGTTTTTTGCGCTAACGAGGGATGCATACCAACTAGATCAATGTTATTTCAAAAAAAAAAAAAAAAAAAAATCTCACAAATCAACATAACATGACCAAGAAACTTCTGCTTAAATTATTCTGTGCTGTATCTGGACATTACCTCTGCTACATTTGATTGTCATCTTGCAAGGAATACTTTATATTCAATACCACAGTTACTTCGGAAACAATCAAGGAGTTTGAATCTTCCTAGACAGTTCCTTCACTGTTTTCTATAATGTATATATGGTCAAGAAAATTTCCCACCTACTATAGTTTAGCTTGTACAAAAAATTAAATCGTATTATATCAGAACTGTTTACATTTTCATTATCTTACTGATATGTAACTTTGAACGAGTTCCCCCCTATCAACAAGTTTACAACTTTTTTTTTCAGCTAATAAGCAATGGAGGTGGTAGTTTTGCCGGCTGCTGGTGGGCCCTTGCAGTTTTTCAATGGGTAAATATAATTTTCAACTTATAAATTTTTTGTCTGAATGATATTTGTTATATGTTTTAGTTTCTGTTTATGTTCTCCAACACTCCCAAGGGTACCAGAATTTAGATGGTACCTGTGATATTTAACTGATGCTGATTAGTATAAGCTATACAGGCTCGGTTTTCGCTAGCTTTACAGCGGCTAGTCTCTCCTCGTGGGATTCTTTATCGCGATGACTATCAGCAACATGAGCTTGTAACTGGAAAAGCCACATAACAGATTGGTATTGCATTAACTTCTGTTCAAATGATGACATTGGTCTGATTGTGGGAAGCTTTCAGTTTTACTTCCAAACCTACACAATACTGGACTCATCTACTTGGAGTATTGCTTTCTGTTTATATAGTGATCAAGGAAAGTTTCGCTCTTAAGTAATTAGGAGGTCGTAGGCTGTAGCTGCTCAAAGAGTTCGAAGAGTTCGAGAGCAGAGAAAAACTGAAGCTTGTCAAGAAGTTAATCGATTGATTATTCTACACAATTTATACATGTCGATTCATACTCCCTCAGATAAGGGAGGAGGGAAAACTATACATGTAGCATGCTTGTAATCGTTTTACATTTTCAAGAATGTACCCCTATTATACGTGTATATCAATCATTGGAATCATTGGAATAAACTTTACCGGTGAATACATGAAATGTGTTTCCTGTTTCAGAAATTGATCACTTTCTGTATGTTGCATTAACAATGTTTGAACGACGAATGCGGCCATAAATATCGGCTAAAATGCATATAAATGCATATTAGCATCTTCTTCACTATCAAAAGCAGTGGAGAGACATTTACTTTAAATTCTAACCCATTGATTATTTAATGGGTGGTTGTGGAGGATTGTGATACATCGAAATATAATAATTATCCTATTTCCATGAATCACATCAATTTCTATATTACATTTAAGAAGACAAATTAATATTATACACTAAATAATCAATGATTGGAGTAATTGAATTAGTGGTCTCACCTCTACCTTTTTGCAACAGAGAATCTGAATCCCTTAAACACCTTATGTTTTGCACTTATATGCCCTACCTGTTTTTTGATGTTCAAGTATCCTATTGGAATGTTTTCCTAAAATTGGAATATCCCCATTAAAATTGGAATGTTTTCCTAAGCTATGCCATGTGACTTGCACATAATAAAAAATGGTTAATTATATTCCAAACATTCGTTGAATCAATTAAAACCCCATTTAAATATCCCCATTAAAATTGGAATGTTTTCCTAAGCTATGCCATGTGACTTGCACATAATAAAAAATGGTTAATTATATTCCAAAAATTCGTTGAATCGATTAAAAACCCATTTAAAGTTTATTTACTCCCAGTCAGAATCCATTAAAATCCAAATTAACAACGAAAATTTTCAGAAAAATAATATTTTCATCCCTTCTTGCTCTAAACCACATGAGAATCCTCAACTAACAAAAAGAATAAAAAGCCACATGAAAATCTAGTTTTGAGGATAATTTAATAAATTACGTTATAGAAGATCAGACTGTAACCCAGAGACACAAATTCGCACAAACCGATATTGAAGATGCAACTCTTGAATGATTCTTCCAGATCCTAGTGGGAAATCAGAGTTCATTTTCTAGGGTTGTGCAAGTTTGGAGAGATTATAAAAATTAAGTGGGGTTATTGGTTGAGGACTGTTGCTTTGGACTTGGACTTTTTCTTGGATTGCAATTTAAGGTGTTATTCGTTTCGGACTAGAATTTGGATTTAAATTTAACGTGTTATTGGTTTAGGACTAGGATTTGAATTTGAATTTAACGTGTTATTGGTTGTCTAGGATTGTTTTAAGAACTAGAATTTCAAAAACCACAATCCAATCCAACTCTATAGTTTTTAATGAGAAATTTTTAAGAGAAAGTCCAAATTAAAATTGATGAATTCTGATGTTACTATGTGGATTTCCTCTCTCATCTTCTCTTTACTTATTTAAATATTTAATATATTCTAAATTAAATATATTTAATTTTACAATATTCCACATTTCTAAGTTATATATATTATCATTGAATGTACTTATTTTAAAATATTTTTAATCAAACTTTTAAAAATTTATTTAATTCATTTAAAATGAAATATATTTAATACTATACAGTCACTTTATATATATTTAATATAAGGGAAAAATGTGTCCAGGCCCTAAAAGTGGGAACTTCGTGTGACTAGCCCCCCTGTACTTTGCCCCATGTGGAATAGCCCCAAAAAATGGGCTTTAATGTTTTAAGCCCCCTCCACGTCAGCTTTATACTAAAAGCAGATGGTATTTTACAAAAAAACCGAAACTGTCCTTCTCTTTCTTCGCCAGACGAGTCCTGGAAGTCACTTCTCATTAATGCGATATGATGGGGAAAATGGAGGGAAATTTCCCCCGCCCTTTTTTTACTCCCATGCGAACTAGTTAGTTGCTCCATTACTCCTCCTGCCTCAGAGCCAAAATTCTGCTCCATAACTCTCTCGCATCATGAGCAATAACAGTTAGTTCTGGCCATTACTCCTGCCTCCTCAGATCAAAATGGCTGAAAAGGACATCATCTGCATTGTCTCTTCGGCAGTATAAGCGTATTCTTGAGATTAATTCTTCAACACACACCATCTTGGATGCTCAAGTTTGATGCGCAGAGAGGTTAGATCTTCCATAGCGAGTCATTAATTTTGGGGCATACGAAGATACAAATAACAAGTTGAAGCTTAAAATTTCCTCATTGAGACGATGGTGATCTGACGTCTATGTGGAGCATTGCCAGTCAATCTTGGACTGAAAGAGGTTCACGTGCAAGCTTTTAAAGAAGGAGATGATTCTTCGAATAAACCAGGAAAACGAGCAAGTCCGACAAGACTGTAGGTTAACTGTAAAATGATTAACTTAAGTTCTAATCGTCTCTTGTTAGTATGCTATAGCTAGGTTAACTGGACTTCAGTTCTTAAATGTTTTATTGTCATTAAGCAGTTCCTTTGTTATGCTCGCATACTAGAGTTCTAAATGTTTTATTTGTTCAAGTTTAATCGGCTATTTTTGTTAGTTCTCTAGAAGTTATTGGCGTGGTTGCGCACCTATAGTTCCATATTGTTAGTCGCTAAATGTTATTAAATTAGATTATAACGTGGTATAAAATTAGACAATGTAGGTATAAATAGAACTAACAAGGCATCAGTTAGAGCTGACACTAAACAGCATCTACATATTAGAACTAAAGCAATGGCATATTATTAGAACTAAACAACCCACATAAAAAAATAGAACTAACACTGTGCGCAGATTAGAAACTCCACCTAGCAGACAAGATTACTGAACATGTAACATGATTCAGAAAGAACTAACACTCTACAGAATAGAACTAACACTGTGCAGATTAGAACTAACAGCTCTAACAGAATAGAACTACAGCTGTGCAGATTAGAACTAACACTCTACAGAATAGAACTAACACTGTGCAGATTAGAAACTAACACTCTTACAGAAATAGAACTCAACACTGTGACAGATTAGAAACTAACACTCTAGCAGAATAGAACTAAACACTGCTGCAGATTAGAAGCTAAGCACTCTACAGAATAGATGCTAACATGTTATTAAATTTGAAATAGCTTTGTTATATAGAAAATAACTTCGTTAAATTAGAACTAAGCAGCTTTAATGGGGCTATATTGTTTATGTCTAGATAGCTAATTATGTCAGTTCTAAATCAAAGATGCACTGTGTAGCTCATAATTGGTTATATTGTTAGTTCTTTTAGTTGCTAATTGATTCTAACAGGCAAGCAATTGTCCCGTTTTGGCTTTTTAGGCTTTGGCTAAATTATGCTGTTTGATACTTCTAATTATTTTGTGGCAGTTTGAATCAAAAAGTGTAGACTGTGGCGCGTCGACGTTGTTGGAGCCAGCAAGTGTTCGCATAAAGAATCCCAATGAGCAATCCTTTCGGCGGAGAATGATGTCCATGAAGATTGATGACATGATTAGCAGAATCAGAGAGGATTCCTGCTTGTGGCACACAGCTTTAAACG